GGATATACAGAGCTATGAGTGTGAGAGTTGGCCCAACTCTAAGAACTGTGAAGTCTCTATTCAAGGTACTTTTTTTTAATCCCATTTCCATCATTCCACCAAAACTTGTTCTAATTATTCATATAAGGTAGCTAACAAATCTTTTTCGTTTTCAGACTTACATCGATTGTCTTCATTTAAAGAAAACTGATAAGTCAAGAATGAATGCTGAAGATCCAATGGAAACTGAACAGAACTCTACTCAAAATGGTGAAGAACCCCATGTGGATAATGAAGAGCTGGTTGAGAAACTGAAAGAGCTATCAAAACAGCCTGATATTTATGACATGCTTACAAGATCTTTAGCTCCAAACATATGGGAGTTAGATGATGTGAAGAAAGGACTTCTTTGTCAGGTAAAATAGTAAAATGTTTTTCTTTTTCATTTTTCAACATTGACATATACATATATGTAACTAAAATTTTGGTTTTCAATCTGAATGTAGCTATTTGGTGGAAGTGCTTTGACACATGATACAGGAGCAACATTCAGGGGAGACATTAATATTCTTTTAGTAGGTGATCCTGGAACCAGTAAATCTCAGCTTTTACAATACATTCACAAATTAGCACCACGTGGGATTTACACAAGTGGAAGAGGAAGCTCAGCCGTTGGATTGACTGCTTATGTGTCCAAAGATCCTGAAACTGGTGAAACTGTATGTTCTTCGACTTTTTTTTTTTTTATTTTATTTTAATTTTGGTAATAGAAAGTATAATATTTACAAATTACAACTTTTCATCAGGTTTTGGAGAGTGGCGCTTTGGTTCTTAGTGACAGAGGCATTTGCTGTATTGATGAGTTTGATAAAATGTCTGAAAACGCAAGAAGCATGTTACACGAGGTGCAATATATTAATATTAATAATTCTTTATATTTAGGGTAAATTACACGAAGGATCCCTATGGTTTAGGGTAACTTGCATGTTTGGTCCCTAACTTATTTTTCTAACTCGGAAGGTCCCTACTGTTTGTTTTTGTTACAGGTTTGGTCCCTCTCTTACATAAATGTTCCCTATCTTACATAAAAAGTCTATTTTTCCCTTGATTTTTTAATTTATTTAAATAAACACACCCTCAATCTCATCCTCTCTCCTTACCTTACCTACTCTATCATTTTTCTCTATTTAAATAATTGTCTTTTTGCGTAAGATAGGGACCAAACGCGTAACAAAAACAAACAATAGGGACCAAGTGTGTAGCAATAACAAACAATAGGGACCTTCCGAGTTAAAAAAATAAGTTAGGGACCAAACGTGCAAATTACCCCAAACCATAGGGACCATTCGTGTAATTTACTCTTATATTTATGTTCTTTCAAAACCTTAAAAGTTTGAATTTATATTAATTGGTTGTAGGTGATGGAACAACAAACTGTGTCGATAGCAAAAGCAGGGATAATTGCGTCTTTAAACGCAAGGACTTCAGTTTTAGCATGTGCAAATCCAAGTGGCTCACGTTATAATCCTCGTTTATCTGTAATTGATAACATACATCTTCCCCCAACATTGCTCTCAAGGTTAAAAAAAAAAAAAACTTTATATGAAATAAATTTGATTTCGTAACTTATTTTTAACCTTTTTCTGAACGTTTTTCAGGTTTGATTTGATTTATTTGCTTCTAGACAAAGCCGATGAGGTGACAGATAGGCGACTTGCCAAACATATTGTTGCGTTGCATTTTGAAGATCCTGAGGTAACGTTTTTTAAATTTTATTTTGTGGTGACAAATACAAGTATACGATGATATAATTAAAGTATAAGTAAGATTTAACTTTTTAAATATTTTTGGTTGCAGAATTCAGAGCAGAATGTGATAGACATTCCAACGTTGACTGCTTATTTAAGTTATGCTAGAAAAAACATACATCCGGAATTGTCTGATGAAGCTGCTGAAGAGTTGACACGTGGCTATGTTGAAATGAGAAGAAGAGGGAATTTCCCAGGAAGTAGTAAAAAGGTTTAAACACTTTTCCTAAACCTTGATTGAATTTTTATAATGAGAAAATAGAATGAAATAAATATTTGGGTTTTAAAAATTAACAGGTGATAACAGCTACTCCTAGACAAATTGAAAGCTTGATTCGTCTCAGTGAGGCTTTGGCTAGAATTAGATTTTCAGAATTGGTGGAGAAAAAAGATGTTGTGGAGGCTTTTCGGCTTCTTGAAGTTGCATTACAGCAATCTGCAACAGATCATGCTACTGGTATGTATATATATACATTTATTTTTAAAAAAAAATTATTTTTTAACTGTTTTGTTAACAGGAACTATTGACATGGATCTGATAACAACTGGTGTGTCTGCAAGTGAAAGAATGAGAAGGGATAATTTGGTAGGGATGACTCGCAATATCATTATGGAAAAAATGCAATTAGGAGGTCCATCTACTAGAATGCTAGAGGTAACATCATTTTTTTTATTTTTTTATTTTAAGATACTTAATTTATGTTATGTTAGAGTTTCATAAAAAAATGTAATTACTTTGTACAGTTGCTGGAAGAGCTGAAGCAGCAAAGCAATAATGCTGAACTTCACCTTAGTGATGTAAGTTTCGCTTCTCTTTCTTTTAATACAACTAACAAAATCAAATCCATTATTAATAATTATAATACATAAAAAATAAATATTAACGGATTTTTTTTTTTTGTTTGTGTCAGCTACGAAATGCACTTGGTACTCTTGCAAGTGAGGGATTTGTGGTGATCCATGGTGACAGTGTTAAACGAGTATGATGAACAAATGAAGAGGGCTAAAACTTGTGTTTTTATAGGAAAGAAAGAGGGCTCAACTTTAAGCAATCATATTTTATTATTATTATTTTTGTTGTTAAACCCAAGACACAGATTGTTGCTGATTTCTGTAGTTTTTAGCTGTGTGCTGAAGATAATTAGGGTTTGACTTTGTGTTACTTTAGTTGTTGGGGTTTTGGTAAACTATTTTATCTTAAATCTCAAATGCAACATCTATCTAAAACTCTTCCAAATATTTCTGGCTGCAATAGAAAGAGGAATGCTTCTTGAGTTCAAATGAGATCATAAAGATCCTTTTGACTTAATAGATTTTGAATCCAAACAGACCAAACATTGGTTTCTTGAAACGCTTCATCTCCTTATAATATTTTCTTGTTAAATAATGTCATGAAAAAATGTTTAGCCTTTTAGTTACAAAGTCAGCATGAGAAAGCTCTTTTTCAAGTGGTCACCCTAGGGCTAGACAAATCAACACTCATGGCAAAAGAAACAATGTTAATCAAACACTTTGTCTGAATCTATACAAAGCATTACTATCGATTCCATTTTAAGTTTATTCGATCTTGTAGTCGACTTTGAAGTTGTTTATAGCTAACATTGTTTATACCAACATGTAAACAATTTATAATACATTTGATTGTTTTTTACAATAAGATTACATATCTTTTTGTCCCATTCTCTCATAATAATGCCATGGGGTCATGGTATGTTGTTTTGTAGCTCCTATGTTGTCTCCATTAGGAATTTAGAATAATACCGGGAATAATGACTAGTACTAGTAGAAACTTCAAGGAAGCTTCCTAAATCAAGACTTAATAAGCCCCACCAATGGGTAGGAAAAAGAGAAAGGTCTTCCATTATATCCCAAATTCTTTTATTCTATCCTTCCATATCAAGTAATATGCCTTTACACTGTCTAATACTCGCAAAGGCAAAACTGATAGGGCTTTCAAAATGTCACACATTTACTGCTACTCCAATTCTTGCCACCTTAATTTGGCCATTCTTTTTCAAACTACTAATGAGTTTGAGACCAATAAACAACATTCTTGAAGCCATGGCACAAGATTCTATCCTTTTTGTCTTTCAATTGGGCCAAATTGTCGTGTCTCAGGCCTCCAGTAGACAAAGATGGCAACGAATCCTCCGTTTGGCTCAAGAAAGGATGGCTATGGCTATGGTCCAACAATCCTACGATGATAGCTTACATACCCTTTCTATGGTTGCACTCTAAAGGTATTTGCTTCGTAGAAGGCTAATTTGGGTTTTTTTTACCATTGTCCTCAACTCATTGATATTTCTACCAAACAAGCGTTTATATTCACATGCTACATGTTGTATTGATGAAACAGTTCTACAATAGTGCATCTGTGTCAAGGCACATGGTTTAATACCGATATTTATGGGATGATGAGCATGCCTAATGTTGCATATGTAGAATGAGAAAAAGAGTCTCATCATACTTTGGAATTTGTCGAATATGTTCATGATTTTGAATTTTGTATGCAGTTTTTGTAATGCCTCCTTTTCCGTTTAGTTATTTACTAAAATCTATATTTATATCTAGATAACTTTTTTTAGAGTATAACCATATTTTTTTTTCTCATTTGTTCTAGAGCTGCCACGTGGCATTGTTTAAATTGTTCCCCATTAATTTTCTATTTGAATTTTAAAACTCTTATAACTAAATATCCATAATTAATAGATTACTAGTTGTTTGACCCATATATTATATGAGTTAATTTAAAAAAAAAAAATTAAATATAAAAGTGAAAATATCCAAAAACTTTGAATTTATAAAAAAATAAGAAAAATAATAAATTATTATAATGAAAATGGTTATCTTTTAACTTTAAACAAATAATTTAAATAAATAAAATAAACTAACGAGCTTTAATTTTGGGAATTTTGAAATTAAAAGGTAAAGTTCATTAATGAAATTGATATACATTTATTGCAATTATTACATTAAAATATTATATAAAATTTAATAAAATAGAAAAACTTATAAAATGACATGTGGAAAAAAATTAATTCAAAATAATCATAAAATGATATTTGACAAATGTGGAAAAAAAATTAATTCAAAATAATCATAAAATGATATTTGACAAATTGAATGAGAGTGTGATAAGTGCTAAAAAAAAAAAAAACCTTAAAAAAGGATAACCTAAAACAATAAAAGAACAGTGCTTGAAATGTGTAAAAACCAACTAGAATCGTAAATTAAATTCGTTTATTCATTTTCCTTTGCATAAACATATTTTCAACTAGATGCATTCCCCCGCGTTGCGGGGGTTGGAAGGTGTTGCTTTTATGTACATGTATAGTAGATTATCTTAATCGGTAGTCACAGTTAAGTATGTTGCTATACTCTGCAATTCGCCCTTTTACAATTTTTATGCTTAAAATAATAAAAAAGTATTCCTGCACGTTGCGCAGGACGGAAGGTGTCCTTTTGTCGATACATCTTGTGTGGATTGTTTTGGCGTTTGGAATTTTATCTGCATAGATAAAAAATATGTCCAGCTTCAACTGAAAAATAATATATCAAACAAATCAAAGTAGAACGTAAGCAATAAAGATAACACAAATATAAAAGAAAATAGAATTACTTTTATATTGTTTTTCTGTAAATATGCAGAAAGTAACTGACAGAGTAAAAACGTAAATTGTGATAATTTTGGTTGAAATTATTTCACACTCAATTAATGTGAACCACACCTTCCATACATGAAAGACAATTGTGCTGGTGCATGCTCTCATGGATACAAATTTTTTAGCAAACTATGTAATAAATGCATAAAATATTAAAGGTTCTCTTTTTTATATTTATTCAATATTACGTTTTGAATTGTATAAGTTAATCCGGTAATAAATACTTCTATGAAAAAACATAAGCTATTTTATAAGGTAAAATATATTGTAGTATTTATAGACTATTGTTTTTAAAACCCTACAAACTATCTGGAGAGTAATATCATAAGTAACTTAACTAACTCTTCTAACTTATTCTTTTAAAAAATTGAAGGCTAATATGTCCGAGTCATCAATTCAATAGTAATCTGAAATACAATTCTTTTAGTGACAAAAAAATCGATGAAATTGTTTCATTGATAGTTGACAAAATAATGGAGCGACTTTTTTCTGCATATTTGGTCATGTGTTAATGATGTAGTATCACAAGTATTCGCTTATAAAGTATGGTAACCAACATGTGTGTAGTACTTAATAACAAACAATTCTTATAGAATCAACCCCAACAACAATACTTATTTTTATAAATTCAATAAAAAAATAGAAAAAAAATAATATATCCAGGTGAAATTAATTTTTGAATAATAATTGAGAAGTAATTGTTAAAAAAATGTACTCACTGATATCATACATTCCAGCTTTAATAGCTGCATCTACATCAGTAACTGCAGGAAGACCAGATGAACAATCCTAATTGGTACAGTTTCTGAAAATAGAAAAACATGTAACATCATTATAATTAACGAACAATCATATCAAAGGAATTAGAGCATCAGAGATTTTTTAGTATTTCAAATAAAGAATAATGGAACTTGATTCCTCCCATCCACCCTAGAATTGGTGAAATCCATCGAACATGGTGTCTAAAAGAACATAACATAATTGAATTCCATTTTTTGTAGAAACAAAACATACAATGGAATGGAATAGCGAACTCCGATTCCATTGTAATTCATACCAGGAAAATCGGCATAGAAAGCGGTCATTTAATGCATAAAAGTTCTGAAAAAGTTGACCTGAAAAATTTACAAAATAAATTATTAATTATTATATTATCTTACCAAACAGAAAATGCTATCTTAGTTACAGATACAAAGTTGGTATGCATATATTAAAACAAAAGTACAGCAAGATACTCGGAAAGAAAGGATATTCAACAACTGTTACTTATGCTACAATTACTACATAATCATCAAAAACTTGAATCTTGAAAGCTTATACCTGATAGATGATTAAGTACCATTAACGGGCTAAATATTGTTGATTAGGGGAATGAAATTCATATTGCTTAAGAAGCTGTCTCTTCCCTTTGGTAGAATTTGATGATTCTAAAATGAAAACCCTAAAAGAAAAATACAAATTATTCTAAATAAGAAACTATTCTTTAGAAAATTAGAAAACTTAATATACTAAAAACTAATTTCTTTCATTCCCATTCCATTTGTTTTCTGATTCCATCATACTAAATAGTACATAACAAAGATACAAATATTAATCAAGAAAAACAAATATAAAAGTTTAATCATACATGATATTCTCTACTTTAGAAGTATCAAACATTGCATGGCCAACCACTTACACCTCCACCTTCACATTACCATTCCATTCCCATCTGAAACTTATTCAAAACACATAAGAATCAATGTTTTCCTTCACATCTAAATCAACTTGATCCTTTACATCAGAAGGTGTCACCCAGAACAATAAAAACAGGATTACAGTCAATGTTCTGGTTTTTAAAACCAAGGTAATCGGACCCAGAACATTAAAATATGCAATTAACTTAAAGTAGAGGTGTTTAAAATAAAAAATCAGATCAACATATGTGGGTGAAAGTCTAGAATTATCATATATGTCAAAACAAAAATACTAACTGAAGCATAAATCAGATGATGAGGGAATACCCCTCACATAGACATAGTAGAGAGACCCTTAATTAGGAAAAATGAAGACTTAAGCTTATGAACTCGAAATCCAAACATAGTTGCTTCCAATAAGGAGTACTCCTCGCACACTAATGGGGTTCCTAAATCATACAATTAATCTCATAAATTAAGCTAGATGCAGATGGGGTCATTAAATTGAAAAAACCTTATCAAAAGTATTCTAAAATCAAAGAGTAATGAAAATGGGCGAGACCTGTTGAGGCGTCAACCTTCTGTGGTCCCTCAAATCTTCTTAATTTACCATGAAGCCCATCCTAGGTTGACTTTTCTGAAATAGGTAAAAGTAATTTATTAAGAAAACAAAATGAAGCGATGATAAAATACAGATAAAACCATGATAACATAATAGAATAAGTCATCTAGGCATTTAATCAAACACCTGGTGGGCGGCGGCCAAAACAACAAACATGTCAGTATTATCTCCAAATCCTCATGGATTTTTACCGTATCAACGGTATTTGGAAATGGAACAGAACAATACTAATGAATTTAATTGGAGAAAATTGAAAGAATATGATGATTTAGTGATTATACAGGGGTAGAGTAACAGATGAGGACCGGGTATGAGGCTGGACCATTAAAGACATAGAACCTTTCAACAGTGGCAAGTGTTAACAACCATCGCACCTATCGATCTACAGGTCCAGAAATTCGAAGGTCGAGGGAATCTAACTGAATCCGCCAAGAAAGTGACATGGCTGGAGTAGGACAATCGATTGAACCTAAACCTTCAAACCATCAACAAAATCAACCATATTGCAGGCGATCGTTGAGGATACGGAGGTGGTTAGATCCGACAATGCGTAGAAAGATAGAAATGAATTGATTGAGAGAGAAAATTGAGAGAATGTTTTTCATTGTTATTGAATAATAATAAACATTGCGTACTAATTACGATTCTAACATTTAAATGACGTGTCACTCTCTAATGGTTGACTAATTGACTTTTATTCTCCAATAGCCCCTGGCAAGCTGGTGGACATGTAAGGAGACCAAGCTTGGAAATAGCATGAAGATGATCTGCACCAGATAAGGACTTGGTTAAAACATCAGCAGGTTGATCTTTAGTGGAAATGTGGGACAAAGATATGAGACCATCTTGAAGTTTTTCACGCACAAAGTGGCAATCTACTTCTATATGTTTCGTTCTCTCGTGAAAAACTGGATTCTTTGCTATATATATTGCTGCCATGTTGTCACACTTCACTGGTATAGGAGGGATATTAGGAACTTCAAATTCAGTCAGTAAACGACTTAACTAGGCCAACTCAGAACAAACCCTTCTCATAGAGCGATATTCAGCTTCTGCTGAAGACAAAGAGACAGTAGCTTGTTTCTTTGATTTCCACGAAATTGGACTTCCTCCCATTGTGATAAAAAAACCACTGACAGACTTTCGAGTAGTAGGACAACCAGCCCAATCTGAATCACAGAAGGCTTTTAATTTGAAATCTGATTTGTCATTAAGAAATACACCTTGATATAAAGTTCCTTTCAAATACTTGAGAACATGAATCGCTGCATCAAAGTGCTTTTGACCAGGATTGCTGTTGAATTGACTTAAAAATTGAGCTGTAAATGATAAGTCTGGTCGAGTATGTAATAAGAAATTCAATTTCCCAACCAGTTGTCTATATGATGTAGGATCCTTGAGTTGATCAGATTTGACATATAAATCTTTGAGTTTGCTAGGCAATGGAGAATGAATAATTTTAGCATCATGAGGCAAGTAATACTCCAATAAATCTGTGATAAATTTGTGTTGGTGAACAATCATTCCATCTTTTGTTTCAACAAATTCTAACCCCAAAAAGAAATTAATGGATCCTAAATCCTTGATTTTGAACTGATTGTCCAAAAATTGTTTTAGATCATAAATCTCTTTATCATTATTCCCTGTAACCAGAACATCATCTACATATACTGCCACAATGATGATTGAGTTATCAACTTTCTTGATAAAAAGAGAATGGTCATTTGAAGATCTTTGAAAACCTCTAATTAAGAGAGATGAAGAGAGTTTGTCATACCATTGGCGAGAAGCTTGCTTCAAACCATATAGTGACTTGTTGAGCTTGCATACAAATGAAGAATCTGTTCCATCCATTCCAGGTGGTAACTTCATGTACACCTCTTCATGTAAATTGCCATGTAAAAAGGCATTATTTACATCAAATTGATGTATTCTCCACTTCTTTTTAACAGCCAATGCTACTAAACTTCAAACTGTATTGAATTTGATTACAGGTGAAAACGTTTCATTGTAATCTATCCCCTCTTTTTGAATAAAACCTTTAGCCACTAATCGAGCTTTATAACGCTCAATCGATCCATCTGCTTTATACTTCACTTTATATACCCATTTGCATGCTATGGGTTGTTTTCCTTTAGGAAGCTTGACAATTTCCCATGTATTGTTAGCTTTTAAGGCATCAAACTCCTTTTTCATTGCTTCTTCCCATAATGGATTGCCTTTTGCTTGATGATAGAATAATGGTTCATTGATTTTAGGAGTGATAGAAATATTGTTAACCATTGCAGCAACATGATTGGAAGCATGATAAGCAGAATTAGAACCATTGATGAACATATTGGTAATGGTGTGAGAACAATCATCAAATTGACTTGTCACATTGTAACATATATAATCCTTTAAACGAGTTGGTTGAGTGCTGTTTCTGTTAGATCTTCGAATTGGAGGTGGTACTGCTTCATGATTAACAGGAAAAGCAGGTGGTATTTCTTCATGATTGATATGGTCATTGTTGATAGGAGGAACATGTAGTACTTCTTCATGATCTGGTTCATTGGGAGTTTGATGCTCTTGATTTTCATTGGAGAAATTATGTTCACTTTGGACATCTTCATTGAAAGACATGGGAATATATGAATCTTGGACATTAATACCCTTTGTGAAATGAAGAGGGAATACATGTTCAATAAACTTAACATCCCGTGAAATAGAAATGATTCTTGTTTCTAAATCAAGAACTTTATAACCCTTTTGACCAAAAGGGTATCCCACGAATATGCAAACTTTTGATCTAGGCATAAATTTGTTCCTGTTGACCGATAAAGTTGAAACAAAACATAAGCAACCAAAGGATTTCATGTCATTCAAATTTACCTTTTTCTTGAATAAGACTTCATAAGGAGAACTGTGATTCAACACTCTTGAAGGGGTACGATTTATGATGTGAGCAGCAGTCAATACACATTCTCCCCAATAACATTTTCCTAGCCCAGATTGGAAAAATAATGCACGTGATACCTCCAACAGATTTTTATGCTTTCGTTCAACCACCCCATTTTGTTGGGGTGTGTACGGATAGGATTTTTGATGAACTATACCAAGAGATTGAAAAAATGAAATGCCCTCATGACTAGATCCAAGTTCAAATGCATTATCAGTACGAATATTCTTTATAGTGACTTGAAATTGAGTTTGAACATACTTGATAAATGCTTGAATAGTTGTGAATGCACTACCTTTATGTTTTAATAAATGTATCCAAGTACATCTACTGTGATCATCAACAATGGTCAAAAAATACCGAAATCCATTGTGAGTTGGAACCTTGTATGGTCCCCATATATCTATATGAACCAGATCAAATGGTTGTTGTGATACAGTCTCACTTAATGAAAAAGATAGTTTGTGTTGTCTTGCTTGATAACAAACAATACATGAATTGAACAAGTCATTCGTACATTCCTTATTTGTAAGAGATAACAATCTCAGTTTTTCAAATGGTAAATGACCTAATCTATTATGCCACAGAGTTACATCATTCTTTTTGCATGAAACTATCTGATTGACATTAATAGATGTAGGAGTCTTCAAGTACTTGTTGCCACGAATATACAGATTGTTCACTATTTTCCCTATAATGAAGCTATCCTTCGATAAAGGGGCCTGCATTACACAAAAATCATCAGTAAAGATTATCCAAACCTTTAACTGTTTGGTGATTTTGGCAATAGATATGAGATTATGTCTGAACTCTGGAACATATAGAACATCACGGAGATTGATGGTATTATATGTATTGGAACATCTCCAATTTGAAAAACTGGTAGTGTTTGACCATTTGGCAAAGATATGGAATGAGGCTGAGGAAAATTCATTAGTGAAGAAAATAAGGTTTTGTCTGAACAAATATGATCTGTTGCCCCCGAATCAATGATCCATGAAGATTTTTCACCATTTGAACCAAGAACAACATTAAAGATGTATGATATATGATTTCCTGAAGAATCAGTATAGTTACCTGCAGTATCCATTGATCCATCAGTAATCACAGAGTTGATTTGAGTTAATCCACTGTTATTGTTCAGAAGCTGCATCAATTGCTTGTACTGCTCAGGTGATATAGATTGAGAATTATCAACAACATTATTTGCCATTGAATCCATCTTCTTTGACTTTGTGAACTTGAAATTGGCTGGAAAACCATTCAGTCTGTAACATGTTGACTTCACATGCCCTGACTTCTTGCAGTGAGAACAGTTAAGATTCCTTTTTGATGATTGATTAACTTGCATTGCCATGGCCTCCGTAACAACATTTGGATTTGAAGAAATATCTCTCTGCCTTTATTCATGAATTAACAATGAATGAATAGTAGAAATGTTAGGTAATGGATTCATCATTAAGATCTATCCTCTTATAGCTTTATATGAATCGTTTAATCCCATCAGTAACTGAATTAAACGTTGTTCTTCCATAAATTTGTTAAAAAGAGCAGCCGATTCACATGTACATGCAGGAACTTCTTGAATCATCTTTAATTCATCCCATATCTTTTTTATTTTTGTGAAATAGCTAGAAAAATCCTCAGATCCTTGATTAATAGAGTATAATTTCTTTTGAACTTGATAGATCAAAGTGCCATTAGATTGAGAATACCTTTCTCTTAGTTCAAACCAGATTTCCTTTGCTGTCTGGAGAAACAATACACTTTCAGCGATTTCTTTGTTTAAAGAATTCAAGATCCAGGAGATGACCATTGAATTAACTCTATTCCATGCGTGAATGAGATCTGAACTTGCAGCAGGAGGATTCATAGAACCATCGACAAAACAGAGTTTGTTCTTTGCTGAAAGAGCTAATGTCATCGATCTCTTCCAGGCTGCAAATCCTGTTCCATCGAAGAGTTTTGACACCAGAATCGTGCTTGGATTGTCTGAAGATCCAAGATAATAAGGGCTTGAAATTTCAATGTTAGATCCATTGGATCCGTTTTGTTTGATTTTGAGTAGAACTTGACATGATTTGAAAAACAGAGATCAAATGAAGTGAATAAGAAACAAC